TTTCCTCATAGATTTTTGCCATTTGATAGTAACACATCGCAGCGTATTGATCACAGTCCTCATCTCTGAATTACAACGTGATTTTTTGCATTCTGTTAACTCATTCCTCCTGTTCTGTCCGATACGACTCTAGTAAGGTTGTGTATTTTTGTCGCTCTTACTTCTGTTGCATTTCAACAAGTCAAGTGCTCTTAGGACTCAGTCAATTCCAAAGAGATGAAGACCACTCTCACTGAATCGTTTACTCAAACACAAAAACCATACATAGATCACTTTTATAACTGAAATCAAAACCAGGATTTTCAGTGTTTATCAGTACTCTATTTATGGTAAATCTTCAAGCAACAATTCCGTATGCAAACTGAACTGAATGCAACGAGTAAAATCCAATTAATCCGCGCAAACTTACTTAAATCGAAGCGCCAACTTATTGAAATCAGCTAAAGCTTGTGAATAGTTTGGTTTTTTCAAGAATTTTTTCTTCATTGAATCGAGAATCGCTTTGTAGTCGAGCCATGGATCACGATACGGCTCGGACATTATGGCCGCTGTTGCCCTCTTCAAGATACACCAGCGAATTCCACTCCGGCTTCGAAATTTCACAAATATTCGCACATTAATCCACTATACAGAATTCGAAATCGACAGTATTCATTGGAAAAATCCAATCAACTGAAAATGTGAATCACTGTTTCGAAAGGCACTGCTTCAACATGCGTTTCAAAACGATTTTGATTCGTCCCATGCTGGCTGAAATGATATTATGAGGTACGTCTGTTCAATCGTGACATTATCAGTCTTCTGCGAAGGACAGTACGACGTGACGCAGAAATAACATTATGAATGTTGTCATACAGTCGGGAACTGCAACGTCTGCATTCCCGGAGGCGCTCAGTTGATTGCACTTACTGTTCACTTATGAGGATCGGATTTCGTGAAGCAGCATTCCATGGTTCGCGTAACTATCAATTTGATACAATCATATTGTGATCCGATGAGAACGGAGAAGCTGCAATAGCAGCGTTCAATAATTTCTACTGTACAAAGGCATTCTTTATTCAAATCTATGCCGATAACAACCACAATAATGTATGCACAAAAAGGACATCATGAGTTTATACGACGTGACACGGAGAACACAAATTGCATTAGTAGGTCAAATTGTGGTTTAGAACCCGTATTCAAAAACAAAACAGAAATGTGAAAATAGAAAATTCATGCGTACTACACAGGATATGATAGTAACAACGGACGTAATTGATACGTATCCCATTACTTCGTTCGTGAGATGAATGCACGAAGGCCTATCAATGAATATCCAAATGTATAGATTTGAAATCAGATTACAAACAGTTCCAGTGTTTGAGAAATTTGTTTTGAAGAGTAAAATTGCCAGTGGTTGAACCAAGTGAGAATTTCTCAGTGGAATTCATCGCAAATATCGAACACTAAATTGCTGTGGACGAAATCAACTGAAAAATTTGCGAATCAAAAACGAAAGCTACAACCTCACAATAAAGTTGAACCAGCATAACTGAAATGTGTTGAGTGCAGAATTTGAAAAACGTGGCAACACTGGTAACTGGTATTGAGAGAATATTACAACAATATTCAAGAACGAAGAAAAGTAGACGATAAGCAAAATTTCATCACTGCCTCAACGAGAAATGTTCATTGAGCTCTTTATCGATATCATTTATCACTGAAGCCGTATCCAAACGTAAGTTATCATACTTGCTCACATAATCTTTCATCTTCAAATCAGCTCTACCTTCAGCACTGAAAAGTTGCGGCATTTTATTGGAGATCAACTTTTTAATTGAGAAATATCTGGCATTTGCCTACTTTCGAAGAAAAATTCAGCATTTTTATAACAAAAATATTCAGCAATACATAATCTGCAGGTACAAACGCATAAAATTTACTCAACTGAACAATCAACAATGAAAAAACTTACCTTTCAATCGCAGAACTTAGGAAATTAAAATCGTGAAGGATCAAGAACTCCTTCAGATCATGTGTCAGCTTCAGTAGTTCATCGGCTGCTCGAACCTGCAACGAACGTACTACAACTATAATAATGTTTTAATTTTTCAGACTTCAGTTCGTAAGACATAAAATGATTATCTCCACTGCTTCAGCGTTTTATCAGTGACCAAATCTTGAATCAGAACCTAGCTTTGGTAACAAATACTCAATGGACCAATTACTGAGGCACTAGTGACCATGCATGAGATAAAATACGGAATGGAAACACACCATGAGTGCAGCACGTGCAGCCATTTCATTTTTGAGGGTATAGTATTCTGTCATTCGTCCCACCGGATTTCTGTGCGCTGCATCGTCCACATTGACCTATTGAACATATTGCACTATCAAATTACTGCTTAAAAACCAAAAATACTGCAATCAGCAACGATTTCATCTAGCCGTATAAGTCAAATTATTTAAGAACAAAACTACTCGAATCAACGAACGACTTGAAATTCCAGTCTTTGTTAACTGTTGGAAGCTTTCCTCATTTATGAGGCGCATGTTGGTAATAGGTAAAATAAACAGTATTGTAGTTTCGGTTGACAAAATATATGCGCAATTTGAGGTATTTTTTCAAGTGGAAACGGCATAAAGTCAAAACATTGAATATCGCTGTTGTATGGGCAATATTTCGTCAACAAAAACAACACTACTCT